TTTTAGAGAAAGGGGAAGGGAGGGAAAAAGAGAGGGAGCAAAAGATCAGTGTGTGCTTGCCTCTTGCACACCCCCAACTGGGGACCTGGTCCACAACCAAGGCATGTGCCCTGACTGGGAATTGAACTGGCAGCTTTTCGGTTCACAGGCTCGTGCTCAGTCCACTGAGCCGTACCAATCAGGGCCAATCTCTCCCTTTATGTCTGTCAATATTTGCTTTATGTATTTTGATACACCTATATTGGGTGCATAAATGTGTAGAAGGATTATATCTTCTTCTTGGATTGATTACGAAGTGCCTTTTTGGTCTTTTGTTACAGTCTTTGTTTTAAAGTCTATCTTGTTGAATATAAGTATTGCTACCCCCAGCTTTTTTTTTTCATTTCCATGTGTATGAAATTTGTTTTTCCGTCCCTTTTAATCTGTGTCTTTAGCTCTGATGTGGGTTTCTTGTAGACAGCACATGTATGGTGCTATACTTTATCTTTTTTATCTTTTATTTATTTTTATTTTTTATTTTTTTAATCTTTTATAGCTTATTTAACTATACTTTATCTTTTGATTGGAGCTTGTAGTCCATTTACATTTAAAGTAATTTCTGATAGGTATGTAGTTATTGCCATTTCATGATTCATATTTTTTCTTCTTAAAGAAGTCCCCTTTAACATTTCTTTCTTTCTTTTTTAAATCCTTACCCAAAGATATCTTTTATTGATTTTTAGAGAGAGAGAAAGGGAAAGAGAGAGAAATATTAATGTGAGAGAGAAACATTGATTGGTTGCTTCCCATATGCGCCCCGACTGGGGATCAAACCTGTAACCTAGGTATGTGCCATGACCAGGAATCAAACCTACAACCTTTTGGTGTATGGGATGATGCTGCAACCAACTAGGCACTTGACCAGGGCCCTTTACATGTCTTGTAATACTGATTTTGTGGAGATGAAGTCCTTTAGCTGTTTCTTGTCTGGTAAGGTTTTCATCTCTTCTTCAATTTTAAATGGTAGCCTTTGTGGGTAGAGTACTCTTGGTTGTAGGTTGTTGCTTTTCATCACTTTGAATGTTTCATGCCAGTCCTTTCCGGCCTGCAAAGTTTCTGTGGAGAAATCAGCTGACAGTCTTATAGGTAACTAACTGCCATTCTCTCGCTGCTGCTTTTCAGATTTTCTTCTTGTTTTAACCTTTGGCTTAAAAAAAAAAAAATATATATATATATATATATATTTATTTATTTTTAGAAAGGGGGAAGGAAGGGAGGGAAAGAGAGAGGGAAAGAAACATCAATGTGTGGTTGCCTCTCATGCACTCCCTACTGGAGACCTGGCCTGCAACCCAGGCATGTGCCCTACACTGGGAATCGAACCAACCACCCTCTGGTTCTCAGGCCATCGTACAATCCATTGAGTCACTCCAGCCCGGGCTGACATTTTAATTATGATGTGTCTTGTTCACTTTGTTTGGGACTCTCTGTGCTTCCTGGACTTGTATGTCTATTTCCTTTATCAGGTTTTGGATGTTTGCAGTCATTATTTCTTCAAAGAGGTTTTCAACCCCTTGTTTTCTCTCTTCTCTTTCTGGTACCCCTATGATGTAGATGTTGTTACATTTCATATTGTCCAGAGGTCCCTTAAACTGTTCTTTTATTTTTTTAATTCTTTTTTTTTTCTTTTTGCTGTTCTGATTGGGTATTTTCTGCTACCTTATCTCCACATTGCTGATTTGGTCCTCTACTTCATCTAATGCTATTGATTCCATCTATTGTATTCTTCATTTCAGTTATTCTATTCTTCACTTTGTTCTTTTTTATGGTTTTCGTGTCCTTTTTTATACTTACTGTCTCTTTGTTGAAGTTCTTACTATATTCTTTGAGTCCTTATAACGAGTGTTTTGAACTCTATCTGGTAGATTGTTTGCCTCCATTTCATTTAGTTCTTTTTCTGGAGTTTTCTCCTATTTTTTTCATTTGGGACATGTTTCTTTGTTTCCTCATTTTTGATGGCTTTCTATGTTTGGTTCTACGTATTAGGTAGATTTGCTATATTTCCCAGACTTGGCAGGGTGGCTTTGTGTAGTAGGTGACCTGTGGGGCCCCAGGTCACTTGAACTGGGTGCTTCAGGAGTGTCCCTTTTGAGGGTTTAATGTGTCCTTCTTGTTGTCGTCGAGCCTTGATTACTGTTAGCACGTCAGTGGGTGGAGTTGACCCTTAACCCGAATGGCTGTGAGGACTGGCCACAAACAGCCAATAAGCTGCTGTGTGGAGGCTTACTCCACAAAGTGGGATTCAACCCAGTGGGCTGTGGTTCCTGCCAAGACCACCCTTTAGCTGTGCTGCTTATGGAGCTGTTGGGGTGGTGCTCTGTTGTGGTGTGAAGCTGGCCACCAGATATGTTAATTTTGTGGGGATCTCTTGGGAGGTGCTCTGGTGAGGGTCAAGGTTGTTGCTGCCTGTGACTGGCCCAGTGGTACCTGGTAAGAGCTACAAAGTGATCTGTGGTTTTAGCTGCCTGTGCTGGGCTTGGAGGCATGTAGAAGCCACTCTGTCAACCAAGGCCAGCTTCCACCAGTACTGGGCCTGGGGTTACTCAGCAGGAGTCACCTGGCACCCCAAGGCCTGCCAGCACCTGCCAGCTGCTCATAAGGCTCAGCCACTGAAAAATCTTGGGATGGCCCCCGACTTGTGTGAGGCAGAGTCTCAGGGAGTCACCAGGGTGGAGTGAATGGTGTTCACCAGGTTAATGCAGATTCAGATTTGGCACCAGGCTGAGCCTGTGGCCGCTCAGCAAAAGCCACAGGGCACACAGAGGCCAGCTGCTCCCTGCCCAGGGCCTGTGGACCTTTGAGTGTTTTTTAAGAAAAACTTGAGTGCAGGCCACAGGCTGAGGCTGGCTCCCTGCCCCTGAGAGCTGCTGATGGTACTCAAGTTGGGTGGGGATGGAGTCTCAGGGAGGCAAGGTGGAGTGAATGGTGTTCACCAGGCTACTGCAGATTCAGATTGGGCCACGTCGGGGGAGGGCTTAACACAGGAAAAGTAGTGCCCACCTCTTGACTGTGTGGTCAGAGGGCTCAACACAGGGACAGTGGCAGCTGTCCCTTCAGCCTTCACCCTGAAGCCACATGACTCAGTTTTCCTCTCTGTGTGTCTGTCACCCTCCCTGTCCTCTCCAGCCACTGTTCCCTTTGCTGGAGCCCAGGGTGAGTGCCTATGAGTGAATGAATCTCTGTGTGAGACCTTTAAGAGGATGCCATGGTTTCCAGCAGCCTCCCTCTCACCTGGATGGACAGAGTTCTGCTGACATTCACACCGATGTTGCATGGGCTCTTCTTCCCAGCACTGGTGCTCCTGGCTGGGGAGCATGGTGTGCACGGGGGGGCTGGGGCCCCTTGTTACTCAAGCGGTACCTCTGTAGCTGAATATCCCTCTTGATTCTCAGCTGCCACACGTGTGTGTGGGACCAGCCCATTTTGTGCCTCTGCCCCTCCTGTCAGTCTCAATGTGGCTTCTGTATGATTTTAGTTAGAGGACTTCCATTCAGCTAGTTTTCAGATGGTCGTCCAAGTTGATTGTTCTATAATTTAGTTGTAATTTTGATGTCATGGGAGCAGGTGAGCACAGTATTTACCTATTCTGCCATCTTGACTGGAATTCACCTATCACAGAGTTCTTTTAAGTAGCAGCTTTAATAATCTAAAGAAAAAACGTGTTCACTGACTTTTAGCAAAACCTCCACCTAATGATGAGGTTGGTTTTGTATCCTCCACTTCCGTGACAGGAAACATCAACACAAATAATTCAGAATCACAGTCAAAAAATGTCTTTTGGAATTAGAACATATCTTGGTATTTATTGGATAGGACCTGGCAGCTTTCAAATACTCATTTAATCATTAAATATTAACCCTTTTTTTGAGGCCGACTATATGAAATGTTGTCAAAGATGCAGACAGGAATAAAATCTTTCCTGGCCCTTTGTCTGAGGAGTGTCCATGCTGCTTGGTGATTTCAATGGCAAATCAGACGTTTGTTGTTGTCGTATTTTTACCTTCCTTTTCAGGAACTTATTTGTACCCTTACCCATGCATGTTACTTGCAGGATGCGAATCTGAGGGTAGGGTCTGTTTTGAAATCAAACTGTGAGCTCCCATCCGCCCTTCTTCCACGGGAAGTGAGCAGGCATCTGGTGCCTTTGCAGGGGTAGGGTTGAGGAGCCCCTCTTCTGTGGTGGTGTTTGTACATTCCCAGAATGCAGTTGTAGAGCCAGCAGGTAAATATCAGAAGGGGTAGTCATGATTCTAGTGCTTTCTAGTCTTTCTCACAGCTCCATTGTAGTTTAAAGTGCTTTGAATTTTTAGGGTTCCACATACACTGTATTTAACACTGTAGCAAAGCTACATCTCTAGACTAAGATATTGTCCTATTTGGACCTTTCCAAGTCTTTGAGGCTGTCCTTTCCCACTTGGCTGGTCAGGTATTCAAATTCTAGTTTTCATTTGTCTATTTTTTCCCATTTGAGGATTTTGGTTTTATTTATTTAAAATTTAAAAAACGTTTTTAATTCATTGATTTGCGAGAGAGAGAGAGAGAAACATCAATTTCTTGTTCCACTTACTTATGCATTCACTGCTTGTATCTTGTACGTGCCCTGACCAGAGATCAAACCTGCAGCCCTGGTGTATAGGGACGATGCTCTAACCAACTGAGCTACGTGGCTAGGGTGAGGATTCCAGTTTTAATTCTAGTAGGTGAAGGACCAGGATTCATGGTGGGTTTTTATTCTCCTTAAACCCTCTTAGCTTCCCAAAGAGATGATTTTTCTTTGCTTTCTCGGGGTCTTCCACTTAGGCTTGAATAAGAGAAAATTATGTCTTTCAAGGGATTTGCTATTTCCCCATAATTTTTGTGACGGGAGTTATATTTTAAATGGGGAGGCTGACAGAAGCAAGAGAAAAATGTCCGTCGAAACCCCAGTTTGACTCTCCCCTGCCCCTTCTTTTCTGCCATAGGCTAAGGAGCGGGAGCTGGAGCTGAAGAACACCTGGTCGGAAAACAAGCTCAGCCGCCGGCAGACCCAAGCCAAGTATGGGTTCTAGGGCTCTGGAGGCGACTGCAGATCCCAGGATCACTTGCAGCTCTGCTGGCCCAGCCCCCAGCTTCACCTCTGGGACCCCAGCTGCTCAAGCCCAGGATCTCTTTCCCTGAGGACCCAGCCGTCTCCTTTGTGAGAATGAACATATTTGATAGAGTTTTCTTACAAAAGTTAGAAAACTCAGCTCCTTTCTGTCTTGGAGCCGGCAAAGACTCAAGTGATGCCCCAGACAGGGCTCTGAGTTCTTGGATGGGAATTTGCTCCCTGTTGGGCGGGATAAAATGTTGAATCCCTCCCTCCACCATTTTTTTTTTTTTTTAAAACCAGGGATGTCTGATGAAATAAAATATTCAGTCTGACAGATGCTGCCTGCCCTCACCCCTTTCCTACTTTTAGTATGGTTTCCTTTTTCATTTGTTATCCTGTCCCTGGGTCTCAGTTTTTACCTTGTGTAAAGCAGCCTCCAGTCATTGTGAGCTGCCTCTATGATTGCCTCGCCTTTTTTTTCCTGTACCCACCATCTAAACTGGGTTCGTGGCTATTGAAGACCCCAGGAGTTGTATGTAAACTGTGATTGGGGGAAGTCAGGAACGTCTTTCTCTGACAGGAAAGAATTGTTAGACATAAAATTCAGGCCAGCAAGAGGGAAAGTGGTGAATGTCTGTCTCTGAAGATGATTCAAGTTTATACTGGTAGTCATTGGCTTAGACTGATGTGGAAACTCTGCATAGAGCTGGGGAGCTGGACAAATCTGGGAGGCTTCTGGACCCCTAGCTTTTCGCTAGGGAGAAAGGGGAGGTTTGGGTGGGTGGGTGGGGGAGGGAGGTGGCGGGGCCTGTGGACTTCAGTTAGCTGTCAGGCACTGTGATGCCCAGAAGTGACAAGATAGAAGGCGTGGTTCTCCCCTCCTGCCCCGCCATCAGGGAAGGGTTTAAGTAGGGAGGGAAGATGTGTGCGCCGGTCACAAACCTGTGCAGATTTTCCTGAAATGTGTTGCTGAGGGTACTGGGACTCCTGTGGGGCTTAACTGTCGGCTTCCTAGAGGAAGGGAGTGTTGAAGAAGCTCCAGCTAGAAGGAAAGCCTTGGGTGCTGTCGGAGGTGCGCCAAGTGGACGGAGATGCTTGATTCCAGCTGCAGGTTCAGAAGAAGGAATATATAGAGGAATTTGTTTTTTAACCCTCGCCCGAGGACACGCTTATTGATTTTAGAGAGGAAGGGGGAAAGAGAGAGAAACATCAATGTGAGAGAAACATCAATCAGTTGCCTCCTGTCTGCACTCTGACCAGGGATTGAACCTACCACCTAGGTATGTGCCCCGATCGGGAATCAAAGCAGCGACCTTTTGGTATACAGGACAGTGCTCTAACCAGCTGAGCCACCCAGCCAGGGCTGGAGAAGTTAGTTTTTGACAGGCCTGGTGACAGGAAAGTTAAGGCCTAAGGGGCAGTTCTGAGTGCATGTCTGGGGCTTGGGGCTGAGAAGAGGTCGGAGTGTGGCCTCTTGCCATGCCTCTGTGTGTGGGGCTAGGGTAAGTTGAGTCTGTTTGTCATTAAGTGCAGAGGAGGGTTTCATCACTTACAGGAAAACCACCCACTTATCTGAAATCTGACCTACTTCAGTGTTGGAGCCAGACAGGGCTCTTCCATCCTCCCTCAGGGACATTTCAAGCTGTAGTCAAAATCAGTGCATCAGCTCCCACTTCTCCCACCATCCACGGAGGCACGGGCTGAGATCGCCCCTCTGGCTGGCTTAGGCAGTGAGGTGGACTCAGCAGGGCTGAGCAGCCTGTGATCCTGAGGAGTCAAATGCTCTTTCTCGTATGCATTATGCTACAGGTGCAACCCAACCCTCCTGAGGTGGCACGCTCCTGGGACTCAGCTGTTCAACTTTCTCTTTCTAGGGGCTGCATCATGATGTAGCAGGAATGGCTCTGTGCTGCAAGGCAGGACGTGGTAGGTAGGGAGAGTCCAGTGTCTTCTGGGAATGGTCATTTAAGCTGGATATCTTTAAGGTTCCTCTTGCCTTCCACCTCCTTTGGTTCTGTGCAAGTAATTTTAAACCACTTTTTAAAAAAACAAATTATTGAGGTGCATTGGTTGAAAAAATTACATAGGTTTCAGGTGTACAGTTCTATAATACGTCATCTGCATTTTGTATATGTGTTTGCCACCCCTGGTCAAGTCTCATTCCATCACACCCTCCCTTCGCTCTCCTCTTCCCCTCCCTATCCCCTCTTCGCTCTGGCACTCACCGTACTGTTCTCTTTGGCCATGAATCTTTTTTTTTCTTTGCTTAATCCCTTCGCCCATCTCACCCAGCCCCCACCCCGTGCCCACCTTAAGCCACTTTTTTAAAAAAGCCACTTTTTAGTTTTACCCCCATTTAGCAGGATTGTGTAATCTCTTGGTCACCAAGAGAAATATTTACAGGTTAGAAACTGACAGACTTATCTGGGAGGTAGTAGCCTCCAGTTTCGGTAAATAAATAGGAAAGAGACAGGGATGAGGGAGGGAGAAGGAGTAAGGAATGGCACTAGGCTAAAAATGGCAGGTGGCAACAGCCAAGGGGCAGAGGGAAGGAGTGAAGGCAGTGGTTGGAAATGGATCCTATTCACCTGGCAGATTTTCGAGAGGCGCGGGCGCAGCTCCAGGGCAGCCTTTCATTGATTAGGATGGCGGAGCCTAGGAGGCTCAGGTGTACAGGGATCCAATTTAGAGACTACACAGGGACAGCCGGCCTGTCGTGAGGGTTTTTCAACTCCAACCCCACAGCCCCCAGCCCCCAGCCCTTGGCCAGGTCTTCACCCGGGCTGGGTGCTGAGCTTTCTGTCCAAGAAGTTGCAGTCCGTTAAGGGGATGTTTGAAGTTCTGTGGGGCCTTGGGAAGCTTTGCGCTACCTGCTTCTAACTCGTTTTGCTCTCCCCCTCAGCTTTCTTTCAGATAGGGCCAGGTGTGCTAAGGCCAGTAGAGGCAGCTGAAAGTGGGGCCGCAGCAGGGAGCTGGTGCGTGCACGGTGCTGTGCTGTGGAATTGGGATGGCTCAGGTTACGGAGTTCCTTGCTTTTCTAGCCCCCTGCCCCTGAGCCAGAGGTACAGGCTGCCTTACTGAGATTGTCTACTGCATCTGCTAAAGGGGCAGATAGGATGAAAGGGACAGCTTAGGGGAGGCAGTATCAGGAAAAAAAATAAAAGAGTTATCAGGGTCAGCCACGGTGCCAAAGGGGCTGGCATCGGAAGGGGAAGGTGGACTCTCCGCTGACAGTGTGGACTTCTGCAGGCGACCTGGCCAGGCCTGGGGATGGGAGACTCAGATCTCAGAGGGCTGAGCCAGAGAGTCCCCTGCCTGGAGGAGGCAGGAATGGGGATGGAATGACTAGGAGAAGATTGAGTCAGCTAGGAAATGCCCCTCCCCCCCCCAGCTCAGTGGTAACTTTTCCTGTAAAAGTTACCTTCCTTCTGAGGTCTCACAATAGCCTCGGGGCTTAGCTTGGGAGTGAGGTTAGCGGGGTGGTGCCAGGGGTCCGTGGTTCTGGTGAGGGGAAGGGAGCCTCCACCACCGCCTTGTTCTTCAGGGCTGGGTCTGCAGCTGGAGTCCTCAGGAGGACGGGGACCTTATTCTTCTGCCTGGCGGAGGAGCCCTGTGGTGGAAGGGGGAGCCCTGGATCGGGATGACAGAATCTGGGTCTGATCGCCTGCAACTCCCTGTCACTTCCCCTCTTTAAACCTCAGTTTCTTTCCTATTTAGTTGAACCAAAAAGTCAGTCACAACGAGCCTGAAGTCCCTTTAAGCCCCAGCAGCCCTGCTCTGCCAGGCCCTTCATTTGGATGGTCTCATCTGATCTGTGTAGTGTCCTGTGTGCATATGAGGCGGCATCACACCCCCATTTCAGAGGAACAGGGGGAACAGGGACTCGGAGGAAAGGTTTTCCTGCCAAAGGTCACCTTGCTGGTTAGCCCAGCACCACAGTGGGAACCTAGGGCTCTTGATGCCGCGCTGGGTTCTCCCCTACCCCTTTGGGGAGTCCACCCCTAGCTGTGTGGAGCCGGAGGGGGGGGGCGGCACTATGTCCCGCTCTGCCCGCCTCCAGCAGGCTTCACTCGTTCAGAAACACCAGCTGGGTCACTATGCAGTTGGTTCTGCCTCCTCCCTGCACCTCTCCATCCTGTTTTCTGACTTTCTGATTTCGAGCTCTTGCTGGATAGTATGAACTCCTTTTTCTGCCTTCTCCCCCTGCCACAAGGAATCAGCCACTGGGTGACTCCCTGAGTCTAATCTGAGACCTTTCTTGCACTTTCAGCCTCTCTGATTTCGGCAAACCATCTGCTCCCTGCACGTCCCATCTCCTCTTGCTCGGGAGGGAGTTGGGACCTACAGACAGAAGTGGAACCCAGCTCTGTTGACTCAGCAACCATATTCCTCCTTAAACTGATTAGCAATGGAGTGGAAAGGAGGGGAATTTGCTTGTCACTGGAGCTGGCACCTGCGCCAGGCTGGGGGCGGTGTGGTGGTTGCAGCGCTAGGCCTAGGGGACATGGCTTCAGGAAGCGGTTTGGGGGGGTTCCTGTGCCTCTGGCAGAAAAGAGAAAAGGGGCCCTGATGGGCACTGATTACCTTGAACAGGCTGCACAGATGGGACCAGATGAGGACCTGGGCCTGAGTGGCTTTGGGGCCAAGTGTGTGTAGTGGGGACAGTCTCTGTCCTGAGCCCTGAGGACAATCTGGGGGCAGACACAACACTGCCTTGAAGAGCCCTCAGTCTGAGACGAAAGTAAAACACAGGGTAGGTTGTTCCAGGTGGTCAAAGCCCAGAGGATGGGGCTCTGCAGTGGGGCAGGAGGCTGCTCTGAAGTGGGTCTGGGCGGGGGGGGAAGGGCTCTTCACAAGAGGGACAGGGAAGAGAATTGGGGTCCTGACAGGTAAAAGCCTACGGCCTTGGCCTTTCTGGGAAGGCACAGATGAGTCTCGGAGCCACTGTAGGGGCTCCTCATCCTCTAAGGGCTTGCGCACACAGGCTAACAGCGCACACTCCCCCTCCCAGTCCTGTGCGCAGCGGGTGTTGGGGATGGAGGCGCAGGGGCCACCCTCAACAACTTCCCTCCCTGCCCGTCTTTCCTGGCATCCACAGGAGACACAGCCAGCCCTCCCTCTCTGGCTGCCTGCCCAGCCCAGTCCAGTCAGGGAAGGAATACTTTGCAGAGAGAGGTCTGTGTCCCTTGTCTTGGTGTCGTCTGACCCCCAGCCCACAGACTTGTGACCCTTGCCCACATGTCCCTTAACCCTCAGGCCCCTCTCCCTCCCATGACAATAACAGTTCAGCCACCTGCCCTTCCATAGTGAGAGTCAGACACAGAAGGAGCCTGGAGTACTTGGATCCCTGTAGGGGGAGGTGGTTGGCGATGATTTATTAGCCAGACAAGAATCCACAAACAAGTTCTAACATCTGTTCTCGCCAAACCAACCCTCTGACAACAGCAGCATTGGACCAGGGCCCAGACCCAAAGGCTCAGAGGGCCAAGGAAATCAGTTCCATGAGGAGAGGCAAGGGCAGTGGGCGGCAGCAGGGCCCTACTAGCCCACATCTTCAGAGGAGCATCAAGCCCTGCAGAGTCTGGGAGGGAACCGGTGGGTGTGTCCGTAACAGGAAGTGGATTCCACATTTGCTGCTCTGACCTCCAGGCTTCTTTGTGGGGGTCCTGGAGCTGTTAGGGTAACAGGGTTATGCTGGGATCTGGAGGAAGGGATCCAGCACCTAGGACCCAATGCGGCAGAACTCTGGAGAGCAGTGAGATATCCTATCTTAGGAAATTTCTGACATTTCCTGTGAAGACTTGGTGGATGTGGGGTCAGGAACAGAGCTCTAAACCAGGGAACCAAGGAGGCCTGGGTTCTAGTCCTTGACCTCAGCCAAGTCCCCATCCCATTCTGGCTCTGTTTACTTATCTGCATCATGAGAGAGTTGGACTTGATCAGGAAGGGCAAAAATAGAAGCTGCTCCTCTCCCTCCCTGCGCCCACAGCAGACATCACCAGTCAGTCATGGTACTCTTTTTTTCTGCTGAGTTCAGATGTGATCTTAACATCCTTTCCAAAGCAGTAACCTGGGCAGCAAAGACCAATGGATTGGCTTTGGCCTACAAGGTGACACCTTTTTGCCATCTTTGCAATGATGATGGCTGAGGTCCTTTCCAGCTTTGATCATCTATTGTATCTTCCATCCACGTTTCCTGAGAAGGGCACCTGGGTGTGCGCGAAGGTCTCTGGACCTGATGTTCAAGGATATCCCGGCTCAGACTCTGGCTACTGAGGAGGCCCCAGGGGAAGCCACGCCTGTCCTCTGTCCTGAAGCGCCTGTCTAGAAAGGGTGGGAGGGAAGCTGTGTCCCCAAAGAGGCAGGGGCTGGTGGGCCACGGGAGAGCCTTGTTCAGCTGCAGAGTTTTCAGAATGGAGTTGCTGGCCACCTGTATTCTGCAGAGAGAAGGACAATCTTAGGTTACGCCCTCTACCCTCTGCCTCTTAGGCCTACCTGCAGCCTCCAGGGCCAAGACATCTGGTCTTAACAGATGTTGGCCTGCACAAAGGAGGGCTAAATCCCTCTCATTCATTCAATGAACAGTTTCTGAGCACCTGCTGTGTCAGGCACTGTGCTGGGTGCTCTGGAAACAGATGAATAGGTCCCAGTCCCTGCCTTCAGGGAATTCCCACTCTTCTGGGCAAGGGGAAGCCGGGGTCCTGGGTGCTCAGTAGTGTGGCAGCTGTGCACGAAGCACAGTGGATGGCCTTTGCGCAGGTCAGGGAAGTCTTTCCAGAGGAGGAGAAAGGCAAGCTAGTCTTGTAGGGTGATTAGAAGTTCCCCAAGCAGCAGGAAGGTGTACATGCAGAAAGGCGGTATAGGCAGAGGGACTGGCATGTGCAGACCCCAGGAGGCTTGAAACCACTTGGTGTATTTGGAGAAACAGGAACAGTTCGGGGAGGGTGCATGATAAGGCTGAGGAAGGAAGCGGCACCACCCCCGCACACCTCCCTCTGGGCATGGAGGCCCCATGGGCCAGGCAGCTGTCTTAGAAAGACCATTCTGGCTTCCTTGGGTCAGAGTGGATCAAAAGTGGCAAGACTGGTGGCTAGAGGCCAGTTAAGAAGCTCTGGAAAAAGTTCTGATAAGAGATGACCAGGAGGGGCCTGCAGCTGGGGAAAGGAAAAATATATTTGGTGAGAGGCGCAGCAGAAATCAATGACTTACAGGGGACTGGGGGTAGAGGGGAAGACATGGAAGGGGCCCTAGGATTCTGGCTTGGAGGGTTGAACAGTCAGATAGGAAACATGGGAAGGAGCAATCTGGGGAGGGAGGTGAGGGCAGCGTTGACTGTTGAATTTGAGACCCTGGGACTCTGGGGAGTTGAGCAGAAGCCTGGAGAGAAGTCTGCATAGAGACATGGACTGGTGACATCGGCTCTAGGATGGCAGTAGGTGGCAAGGGTGTGGGTGAGTATAAACAGATATAAGGGTGAGGGGGAGCCTGGGGCACCAGCGGTGGGCGGAGAGCCTGAGGGGGGGATGGGGGCAAAGGCAGCGTGTGGGAGCAGCCCGCTGAGTCTAACACAGCTCGTGAGATCTGACCTGCACTGATGAGTGAGCAGACTGGGGAGGAGGAGGGATGGAAAAGGAAGAGGGGCCCCGGCTGGCGTGGCTCAGTGGGCTGCGCGCCGGCCTGTGAACGGCAAGGACTCCAGCTCAGTTCCCAGTCAGAGCACACGCCTGGGTTATGGGCCTGGCCCCAGTTAGGGGCACGTGAGAGGAGGCCCAGAAGCTGATCGATGCTTCTCTCCCTCCCTTCCCCTCTCTCTAAAAATAAATAAATAAATAAAAGCTTTAAAAAAAGGAGGGGGAGAGGGAGAGTAAGCTTCAGGGGATGAGGGGCATAGGAAGGGAGGTGACAAAAGGGACTCCAAGCCTCTTCTTCAGGATGAGCAGGGTGAGAAAGGCTGAGGGGAGGGAGCCAGAGCAGGAGGGGCCCAAATTCAGATGGGAGGAGGGGATGTGTGAGGCCAAGATTCAGGGCACAGGCTGGGGTCAATCTCAAGTGGATTTAAAGACCAGCTGGGTGAGCGGGACACCAACCAAAATGCAGGCTCTGGTGGCGGAAGACCAAGGCGGGCCTGCCTGGGGCCTTTATATACTCTGCGAGGAAGGGAGGAACTGCTGAGAGGTGGAGGGGGGTGGGGCCTTGATATAGGGTCCCAGTGATTCCAGGAAGAGGAGAGGAGCGATCTCTGGGCCTCAGACCTCTGACCCTCACCATGACCAAGGTACCCAATTTGAACCCTTCTCAAGCTAGCTTTCAGAAAGCCCTTCTTGTGATCTGACTTGCCCTGTACCCCCATTTACCTGGCTTCCTGGGACAGGCCTGGACCGGCACTTCCAGAGGACCGGGTGCTGGAGGGTGCGTGGTGGGCCCTCACTCCCTGGCGGCACCTCCATTTCCACCTCGGCATAGATGTTGCTGGGGGCTTCTCCAGGGCTGCCCCTGCCCATGGCATAGAAGGCTATGGGTTCATCAGGCTCCTGGTAGATGGGGTTGGAGGGCTTGCGGGACAGGGCCGGGCGAGGTTGTGGAGTGGAGCTTGTGTAGACTTTGGGGGATAGCTGCGGTTTGGCAGGGACAGGAGGCTTGGGCCTAGGTGGCTGGGAGGGCTAGGAGAGAAGGCGACAGCTGGGGAGGACAGTGGGTCAGAACAACCCAGGTAGGGTCAGGCCCCAGTAGGAGCCCTGCCCTCTGCAGACCCGCCCCTCCCAGCCGGCCCCACTCCTTGCAGGCTGCTGCCAGCTTGTGGTCTCTGGGCCCTCGCCTCCCTCCTGCCTGGCTTCCTCCAGGTTCCTCCAGCACAATACCTCCTTTGGCTCGCCGTCCCCTTCTTTCTGTGTGGGGACTCTGGGCTTCTCCTTTTTGAGAACTGGGCTATACTGGGGGTGTGGGTACTGGCTTTTGCTTCCAGAGTCTGATTCTTCAGTCCTTAGGGAAAGTCCTGCGGGCTCAGGAGTCTGCAGCGAAAGGAGGAGGCTTGAGGGACTTGACTGAGGACAGATGGCGGGTAGGGGTGGGCAGGTAATCCAGGAGGACAAAGTAAGTGGTCCAGGTGGAGGATGGGGCGGGGGCACAGGAATTTGGCCTGTGCTGGGTTCCCTGGGTGATGAAGAGGGTATGGAGGTGGCAGGGAGACCAGGGGGGTGGGGAGATATCTCTGGCCACAGGCAATATCTAGCATTAAATTCAATTTCATCTGGTACATAAGGCCAGGCAGGCCTCCCTTGTGCCTGTGGTTGTAAAAATCCAACAAGGCTTGGGAAGTTTTTAGCCAAAAAATTTTTGGCATGATAGACATCCAAGTCTATGTTTATTTCTGCACGTCCTGGAGGAGTACTTTATGGAGATATACGCTGGATATTTTAGGGCAGAGAGGCTGCCTCAGGGGAGATGAGCCTTACAGCGGGACAGCTCCCTCCCGTAACAGGTGTGTCTTTAGCTCAGCACTTAGCCCTGGGTTCAGGGATGCACCACATGCCCGCTCGTGCTGGTCTGCTCCAGCCACAGGGCTTCTCTTGTGCTCCTGTCATCCACCATGTGCATGTCTCCTGGAGGTGTACAGGCACCGCAGGCTTCATGGGTCCAAATCAGAATTCTTATTCCCTCTCCCAATCCCCTCCTCTCTCAGCTCTCCCTTTATGAATAAAATGTAGCACCTCCCCCCTGCCGCCAAACACACCTTAAGAATCAACCCTGACCCCTCTTTGCCCACATCTGATGGACACAGCCCTCCTCCTTCCACTGCCTCAGTGTTTTTGCATCTGCACGCTTCTCTCCGTGCCCACAGCTGCCGCCCCAGTCCAGGCCTCTTAAATCCTCCCCTTGCATTATCGTGCCCGGTCAACCCATTCTCCAACTCCGCAGGTGGTGAGCCTGCAGAAACTCTCCTAGCAATCCTTCAGTGGCTGGTGCCTGCCCGCTGCTCCATGACAAAGTTCAAACTCCAGAGAGCTTGAGTGACAAGACCCATTGAGACCCAGTCACAGAACTTGGTCTCCAGTAGCTCTGCCTCCAGCTCCATCAGTTCCAGCGGCTCCCCTCCCCTCCAGGCCCTGCTCTCACTCCTCCAGGGTCTTCAGGTCTTCTACTCCCACAAAACTCCACAAAAGAGCTGCCCATGGACATAGTTCCCACTTCTTTGAACTGATTCCAATCAAACTCCAAGAAGCAATTCTTGCCCAGGTCACCAAAGACGCCTTGGCTAAATCCAATGGTCGATAGTTCTGGACCTCTAGGAGCCCACTCTTCCCTGACTTGCTTTGCTTTTTTTGCTTGGCTTCTAGACCATCACCCTCTCCTGGTTTTCTCCTCGCTCTCTGGCTGCTCCTTCTCAATGTTCTTTGTAGGTTCTCCCTCATGTCTGCAAACTTTAAATGCTAGAGACTTGGCAGTCCTTTCTTTCCCATCTACACTCACTCCTAAGTGAGATTTCACCGCTCCCAAAGGCTTTAGTATCAATCCAGCTGCATGCTGATGACTCAAATATTTGCCTCTAGTCCAGACCTCTGTCCCAAACTCCAGACTCACGTATTCCAACCGCCTACCTGACATCTCCACATGGACAGTGAATGGATATCTCAAACCGTACATGTCAGAACAGACCTCCTGTTCTCCGCCACCCCTAGAATTGCTCCTCCTCTCGCTTCCTCCTCTCAGTCAGTGAGAACTCATCTTTTTACACTCATCGTCCAGTCCTGCAAAAACCCTTTCTACCCACCTTCAAAACAGCCAGTATTCCGCCTCCTCACCCCTCTGCCTCTACCGTCCTGGTCCAGCCTGCCATCATCTCATCTGAAGCATAGCAGTAGCCTTGACCTGGTCACCCCTGCCTCTCCCAAACTTGCCAGGCCATGTCACTCCCTGGCTTATAACTGTCCAGTGCCGTAACATCTCACTCGGCATAAAACCCCAAACCTGCACTAGAGCCTACAGGGTTTCCTCGCGCCACCTCCCTGATCTCATTTCCTGCCTTTCCACCCTGCTAGCTTCCTCATTGCTCTGGTTCTTCTTTAAAAACACCAAACATCCCGCCTCAGGGCCTTTGCTCTTGCTGTTCCTTCTGCCGAGAGGGCTTGTCCTCTAGTGGTCTGCATGGCCCCCTCCCTGACTTCATTCAGGGCTCAGTTCCATGTCCCCTTACCAGAGAAGCCTTCCCTGATGTCTCTATATAAAATAGCCCCAAACCTGTCACTCTCCGTCACTGCTTGGTTTTTCTTCTTAGCACTTACTTACATTACTTAACACACTATTATGTATTATCCGTTTGTTATCTGTATTGTGTATTCATTGTCTGTCTCCTCTTACTAGAGGGTTGGCACCATGAAGGCAGGGATATTTTGGTCAGTTTTGTTTACTGCTGTCTTCCCGGTGCGCAGACCAATGCCTTGCGGAAAGTGGTCCCTCAGAACTGCCTGAACTTCCTCAGAGAGGGACCCCTACACAGCTGCCCCCCTCTGTACTTCCTCCCATCACACCCTCCCACTTTTTTCTCATTATTTGTGTGTCTTTGCTCCTGGTAAGTAAGCTTCGTGGGTTTGGGACCCATCTGCCTTTCCATGGCTCTATTTCCAGAACCTGCCAGCATCTGGTTCATTCTGGGTACTTAGTAAATACCTCTTAATTAAAACCAAACATACAAACAAAAACAAATGAGCCATGAGCCCTCTTTTTTGGCTGGACTGGTCTTTCAAGGAGCCCTCCCGCAGCATGATCTTCCTCGAAGGGCTTCCCACGGAGGTACGTTGGCAAGGAGGCACAATGGGACAGTCTTGTCGGGTTGGGAAAGTGCCTGCTGCCGCGGTCCTGGGGCCTGGGCTATGGGTGTAGAGTGCGGCTGGCCTGGGTCCCTCGGGGAGGGTCAGGGTCAGGGTGAGGGTCAGGGCCGAGGTGGGGGAGGGGGCGCGTACCTCGCGGGCAAGGGGCTGGCTGAGCGTCTCCCCGTAGGGGCTCAGCGGAGACCCCGTGTAGTACCACAGCAGGTCCTGCAGCCGCGCGTGGGCGCTGTCCTCGCCCAGCACCACGTGGCGTCCGTCTCCGAGCTGAGCCAGCAGGAAGTGGCGACAGCAAGTCCGGCTCCTGGAGAGCGCCAGTCGGGATCAGACGGCTCCCTCGCAGCCCCAACCCTCCCGGCCCTGGCCAACGGCACGAGGCGTGATCCCTACCCGCCCCGCCCCCGCCCCGGCCCCAGGGCGTCCCACTCTCAGTGATGGGGGTGGGGAGGAGGAAGAGGAGGAGCTGAGGGAAGAGCCTGGCTTCTGTGAGCAGGCAACAATTTCGCCTCACACCCAGCCTCGGCACCCAGTCCCGCCCCTCCGATTAGCTCGAAGCCCGCTCCCTGTGGCCCCCGCGGGGCCCCGCCCCTCACCTGTAAGTCAGCACAAAAGTCACAGCGCTTTCGCTGAACCGCACCAAGTAGCATCCCTGTGGCTTGGTCTCCAGCAGCCTTTCAGCCTCCCTGTGGGTGATGGAGAAGAGACAGAATGCGGCTCTGACTCTTCCAGCCTTGTCCCCTGTCTCCCGGGCTCCCGTGGGGAACCCCTACACCCAACTAAGCGGACTGAAGTGCCTAGAGGACGGAGCAGGTGGGAGAGAGGATGTGGGCACTCCTCTTCCGCTGTAGCGCGGGGGTGTGGATGGAACCCAGGGTTCCCACCCAGGACGTATTCCAGCCCTCCATCCTCCCCCTGGAAGGGCAGCTGGTCGCCTGTCGGGGCGGCAGGGCGAGGGTAAATGGGAGCTGGGTGATGGTGATGTTGGTTCTGTTGTTGGTGCTGTGGCTGCAACAACAGAGATCTAATAGACTTCTAGATGTCAGAGTGAAGCTGAGAAATGGAGGAGGAGGGAGGAACTGCAAGGGAAAGAAGCAAGAGGAGAGGGCTGGGTGAACCAGAGGTAAAGAAGGGGTGAGAGAGAGCCTGAGACAGATGGAAACCATGAGAATTAGAGGCCTTAGATATAGGAGGATAATTGAGCCCACAGAGGGGAAACTGAGGCACAGAGTGGGTTGGGCTGGAGCCTCTCCAATGTTCTCCTCCAAAAGAGATGCCTTAGTGAAAGGCCTGGGAGCCTCCAGGAGTCATAGCCTGGACCAGCAGCCCCTGTCTACTCCCGACTGGCTGAGGGACCCAGGACTCGCCCCTGCCGCTCTCTGGGCCTGTGTCCTCCTCGGTGACTCACCTCCGAGTGATGAAGCCATGGAACCAGGGAGGGGCTGCCCCGTGCTGCAGGAGCCCATGGGCTTGGGTCTCCTGGAACCAAGCCCGGGTCTCGGCCTGCAGGGACTGGCCTTCCCTAGGCACCTCCTCAGCCTTTCCAGTGTCCTCTGGGCTGGGGGCAGCCCCCAGGGTCTGGGAAGATGCCTGGTTAGGGGAAGAATTCAAGGAGGGAAAGTAGCCATGATTAGCGGGCCTTCTGACGCCAAGCCAGTGGCTACCTTCTCATCTCCAGGCCCTACTGGGAATGAGGAGGAAGCTCCCAGCCCCCCATCACAGTTGGGGGGGGGGCTATTTTAAATATAATTGCCTAGAAAGTCCCTCCCAGGGTCTAACTTAAATCCCTTCTCCAGCTGTTTTGGTGTCTAGGGAATTTTTCTACTTCTCTCTGGGGACCTTTAAACCAGGATCAGTAGGCTGCTAAACTGTACTTAAGTGGGGGTGAGGCTTTCCAGATGGACAGGAAGTCATACACTAGCCTGGAGGATGAGGCGAGATGATGCAGGAGGTTACCCCGGAGCCTGGAATAAGGGAGAGCTCACCCTACAGTAGGGGCGCTGAGCTGGTTGGCAGCGGGGGTTTCCAAAGGACTGGGTGAGCTAGAAGGACTGAGATGGGGATGTGCTGGGCAAATCAAGGTCATAGACAAAGATGCAGATGTTTGTTTCTGGGACTTGATACATTGAGCCACCTGGGGACTCAACCTGAGGTTCCCAGGGACAGAGGAGCAGTGAGTGGGCAGTTCAGCACATGAAGAAGGGACCTCCCATCCTCTTTTCCTTCTTCTGTGCCATGTCCTTGTTGGCAGGCCCAGATCACTCCTGCTTTCTCCCCACTGGCCTTTGTTCATCTGTGAGTCCTCCCCCATGGGAGGCTTGGGAGCAGATGAAGGAGCTGCGCACCAGATTCCCACTCACCCCAGTGTGGGCATCCGGGGCTCTAGGGCTGAACTGGGCCTCCTCAGCTTTCAGGACCTGGAGTCTGGGCACTGGAAGCAAGCCCAGGCCTTGGCAGCTTTTGTAGGTCAAGTTCATGGGCTGGAAGGTGCTGAAGGTTGAGGTGGGGGTTTTGTGATTCCCTGTTAGCACAAAGAAGACAGGTGGAACTTCTCAGTGAGGGACTGCTTCTCTCTGCTGCTCACCCCTCCCCCAGGCTCAGAGGTGCCCTGCATGCCTTTGACCAGGAACCTGGAGGACTGGGACAGTTATGTCAGCAGGAGAAATGCAGGTAGGACAGCGGTGGGGGAAGGATTTCTTAGGAAGGAGGAGTATGGAGCCAAGGAGGCACAGGGGGCTGAGGCAGTGGAGTGACTTGTTGGGGAAACTGGGCACCAGAAAGGGGAGCTGGATGCCATCTGGCCTCTGGTGTCCTGGAAGTCAGTCCCACAACTGGGGGAGGGAGCCAGGTCTCTTCAGTGCAGGCCCCTCTTCTGGCCTAGGGTCCTCTGGCTTCCCTCATCCCTCCTGCTTACTCCTCCCTCCTCCCTGAGGAGCACACAGCAGACCCTCTGTTCTCAGGGCTGAGTGGCCCTGCAGTCCCAGGGAAGGAGAAGGGGTTGTGGGCACCCTGCAATCTGCCTTGCCAGCTCTGGCTTGGGGTGGTGCTCTGGCCCAGGAGAGAGCAGTCTGCGGGGGTCTTGTCTACTCCCACCCACAGTCTTCAACAGCACACTTACCTTGGGAGCCTATCTGGGCCAGGGGGAACTCCATGGGCACAGCCCGAGGGGGAGCGGGAGCCCGAGTGCTGGGTGTGTGTCTGTGCTCTCAAAAGTTGTGCACACTCAGCAACTCTCCTGTCGCCCGCCCCGGGGCAGGAAATGTCACTCTACCAAGAGCCCTAGCCCTGGCAGAGGACCCGCGTCATGGAAAGCCTAAGACAATTGTCCCTCCCCCGGAAGCCAGGCAACTGAAGATGGTTGTGGTGTGGTGGTTGTGTATTTGTGTCACACTGTGTTTAGGTGTTAGGAAGTCCTTGCTGTTCTCTGACCTGGGTCCCCCCTGATCCTTTGCTCCCTCACTCCAGACTGGGGCTCCTCTTCCTCTTTCTCTGTCTCCCAGCCTCTGCTCTGAGCAGTGGCAGCAGGGATGTCAACCTCAGGATAAACCCTAGAAGGTGCTCAGGCTCTGGATCCCCTGGAGATGTGTGCTCAGGATTCTGCTCTTAGGACACTGGGGTAGGGGACAGGGCTGCAACAGGAAGGATGTGGGTCAGACTTCTGGAAGGACATTTTGAGGTCATATGAAATCTGTGAGGCAAAGGTAGAAAGAAGGAGGCCTGACTGCATCCTCCAGCACAGAACCGAGCTGAGTTGGGGCAAACCAGGCAGTCCTGGAGGAAGGCAGGGAGAATTTCCTGCAGCTAGGCAGGGTGTTGTTAGCAGTAACACTACTGTTAGAAGTTGTTACTAGTAACTTCAATGCTGATGTCTTAAACTCGAGTGGGCTTGTATCTCTGCTGCACCAGAGGACTAATCCTATTTCTTTCTCTTTGATTCCTCACAAATGAGAAGGGGACCGGGAACATTGTCCCCATTTTCCAGAAGGGAAAACTGAAGCTCAGAGAAGTGCCTTGGCCAGGCTCTTTCAGTGGCTCAGAAGTTGGTGGCAGAGGTGGAACTAAAATCTAGATCCCTTACTAATTTCACCGTGCTTTAGGCCAATGGTCCATGACTATGTGCCAGGCGCTGTTCTTGGTGCAAAGACCCCAGAGGGGAAAAGGATCATGTCTGAAGGTGTCAGGTGGGGGAGACGGACTTGCCAATGGATACTTATTGTGACAAATCAATATGTGGGTGGTGCTATGGGAGTCAACCTCAGAAGCCCCTACTCTAGCCTGGGGTGGGTGGGTATGTGCATTGGAGTTGGGATGTCAAAGGAGAGACTGAGATGAGTTGGGGAGGATAAGTAGAGTTGAGAAAGATGGGGACAGGGGCAAACATGTGGAAATGCATGGAAGACAGAAATGGCACAGCACATGGGGTCGCTGAGGGGAGGATGGGACGGGACGGGAAGCTGGCTTGGAGGCTGCCAGCAATAGTTTATGTAGCTGCAGGGCACCAGGCCGATGGCATGCTGTCTTGCTCTGGGGAAGGAGTATGGACTCCCCACTCAGCCTGGATAGCGACTTCCCCACCTGCTGTGGGCAGTGGACCACTTTTCAAAGTGGTTACTGCTGGCCCAGCCACACCTGAGGCCTCATTCACCTCCTCCTGAGCTGCCTGCTCCCTCTCCCCTTCTTTAAAAACTGTTGCCTTACCCTTGGTCTCACCCGCAGTGGGTAGAAAGGGGACTGAGAGGTGCCTCCTAGAGGAGAGAGCTCTGACCTCACAAAGGGTTGTTCCCCAGATGGTGCCTGAGCCTTCAACAGGCCATTCTGTCATTCCATCGAGCTGACTCATTTTGGGTGACAGGGAAGACCAGTAAATCCTGGATTCGTGAGCCTGTGCTGTGCCTCTTTACTGTACAATGAGTTCTTTGGTCTGAGGCACTGTGATGTGAGATACCATACTGAGAGATCAGGCATTCTGTGAGCACATGGGTAATGCTGGAGTTTGTATTGATTCTGATAAGGACAAATCACTGCTGCCTCAAAAGGGGTAAGGGGTCTGCTCTAACCAACCTACCACTGTGTGGCTGGATGGTTTCTCCCCCTACTAAGGAACAGGGCTCAGTGTCAATCTCTCTTGAGAGCAAGCTGGCTGCTCAGCAGTAGCTCTCAACGTGGGCGAGCTAGCTCAGGTGATCCTGGGCCCATGCAAAGACTTTATCTTGCAACAAAGCCCGCTGTTTTATCAGCCCATTGTTCCAGCGGGGGGCGGGGGGGAGGATGGGGGCTAACGAGAAAGGCTGGCTGACGTCCACAGGGTGAGTTACCTTGCCCAGTGTTGTGGAAACGTGCCTCGGTCCTGGGCATGCCATACACTTAGTTCTTTCCCAGGCCCGTTTTCCTTCAATCTTTCCATTTTATTTTTTTCCAAGACTCTGACCATCTGGCCAAGACATTGCACGCTTCCCAGTAGTCCATGCACGTCCTTAATCTGGACCATTCCTGTGTACAAAGTGGATGACCAGTGCACACTTGCAGCTCTGACCCTTGGGAGGATTCCCTCTACCACTGCCCTTCGGGGACACCATAAATGGGACCATCAGTTGGGAACCCCCAGGAGGGCATACATGCGGGCTGCAGAAGCCATAGTGCAGTAGAGACAGGTGACTTGGGAGTCTGGGCTACCTGCTCATGCAATTTGCTTTGTTTTAAAAATTTTTTTTTAATTTATTGATTTTTATAGAGAATGGAAGGCGGGAGAAGAGAGTGAAAGAGAGAAACATAGATTTGTTGTTTCACTTTTTTATGCATTCATTGTATTCATTGGTTAATTCTTGTATGTGCTCTGACCCGAGACTGAATCCACAACCTTGGCTTTTGGGGATGATGCTCCAGACAACTGAGCTACCCAGCCAGGGCTCATGCAATTTACCTACACATTCTGGAGCAGCTCCAGCCTTGTCCAGAAGTATTACTCCAATCACATAATGGACTATTGCTTTGCCTGTCTAACTTTATGATGCATGGATCAGATAACATTCAGTTTATGGGGGTAGCTCAAGTTGAATGGTCAGGCATTCCATTTTTATTAGGGTCTAATAGCATACCAGTTGCTGTTTTTCAGATACAATTCTTTGTCAGAGAGGGCGTGGCCCTGTTCCAGAACATCAGGGTATGTGCTGCAATTCTCCATCAGAACTTGTCAGAGACTCCACACAACATCCTTCTCGACCACAGGTTTTCCAGCACCACTGGACATGCCGGATCACAAGGCCCAAGTACCAGAGCAGCTTGTTCACAGCCTGGGCCTGCTGCAGGGCCCTTTCTTGCTCTGGGATGCACCTGAAACTGTCAGCCTTCTGTGTCACTCAATGATTAGTTTGAAGTGGTATTCTCAAGCACAGCACCCCTTGTCTCCAAAATTCAAAGAAACCAAATGAATGCTGTGCTCTTTCCCTAGTGCTAGGAAGTGTAGGGTGTGGCTTCTTGTTCTTGACAAAAGCTGCAGACCAGGGCTTTTGGAAAGGAGGTGGTGAGCCCTGGCCAGATAGTTCATCTTGTTAGAACATTGTCCTGATACACCAAGGTTGCAGGTTTGATCCCTGGTCAGGGAATATGTAAGAATCAACCAATGAATGCATAAATAACTGAAAAAACAAGTCAGTATTCCTCTCTCTCTCTCAAAATCAATAAATAAATAATAAAGAAAAAATATTTCTTTAAAGAAAAGGGAAAGAGGTGGTATTCAAGGGAATCTGAAAACTGTGTCCAATATAGCAAAGATAATACATGCTAGTTTTTTTGCTTCTCTTATCTGCTTTCAGGGAACAAAGCAGATGAGTTCTGTTTTTACCATCCTGTGTTCTGTGTCCGGACTTTACCAATAGCCCACTATTACCTTGTATAATCAATTATTATTTTATAAACAACTGTCAGGGGCTGGCGTGTTATTTAAGGATTACCTGTCACTACTTCACAGGTGGGAAAACTGAGATCAAGGTCAACAGACTTAGCTTCAGTCACATGATGAGAACTTTACTCTGAGCCTGGCGGAGGCTTCCAGTTTAGGACTTCCAGGCTCTGTGGCTGAGGAGGGAGTGTTTGCTGTGAGCAAACACTGTGCTAAGTGTTTTACAGATATGAACTCATACACCCTGATAACAGGCCAATGACAGTGATTCCTACTACCATTCCCATTTACAGGCAGTGAATCTCAGAGCCGGGAAGTTAAGCAACTTGCTCAAGGTCACACGTTGGGAAGTGGGCATTAGAACAAGGTGAAATCTTGGGATCTCAACTACTAGCTAATAATGAATCAGGGATATAACTCCACATGGATGGGTGGCCACTACTTAACTGCTTTCCCACTGAAAAACTTCATGTTAGACAACTGAGTAGCAGAAAAGGAGAAGGGTTTTCTAAGCCTTTGGCTGTCACTAGGACAAAAGAAGCCTGTGGAATTTCCCTGAGAAGACTTCATACTTTAAAAAACCAGAATCCAAGAAACTTTTCTAACCACCAGCCAAAACTCTACACTTTTAGTAACCTATTATGCTTTGCAGCAATTTCAACCCCAAACATAGACTCATTTGCAGAAGCACTGTTTTTTTTTCCTCACCCCAGGATATGTGCCCTGATCTTTAGAGAGAGAGGGAGGGGGATGGGGGATAGAAACAGAGACTGAGAGAGGAACAGTAGTGTGAGAGGGAAACATCTATCAGCTGCCTCTCGCACAGGTTCCGACTGGGGATCAAACCCACAATCTAGGTGTGTGCCCTGCCGGGGAATCAAACCAGTGGCCATTCCATGTACAGGATGACACCCAACCGACTGAGCCACACTGGCCAGGGTAGAACCGCTGTTTTCGCAAGTGCTTTGCTGGCATTGTGAGCAGGCACGACACACTCTCCCAGTGTTACTGAAAGGAGCAGCAATATTTTAGATATTACATAGCGCCTTTTGTCTGAACAGCTCTAGGCATTTGCAGAACCAAAGGCATTACTTTATAATTACTCTTCCTGTATCTATTTAATCAACATGAATTCTATACCAACCCTATACCAAACACGCCAGGGACTAGGCATGGAAAAGTAAATAAAAACCCAGCAAACTATTCTTTTAGAGGTCACATCTGGGTGAAGAGAAATTCCCACAGTATGTAAACA